GGCTCATACGGGAAATTACCCTCTGCCTCTAATTGAAGAACATTGAACATTGAACATCTTTATGCCGTCATTGCTTTCCCCACATCCTACTCTTAACTTGTCTCTATGCCAGACTGGAACAACTGTTTTCTTTCTTTAAATATACCAAGAATTTCGACTCACGTATCTCCCACGAATCACAAACTTTCCTCCTCTATTTCTGCTTCATCTTGATTCCACCCAACTCAGTTGTACAAGCTCGTCCTATCCCTTGTTTTTTCTCATAACTCCACACATTGATAGTGTCCCCAGATTTCCTCGCTTGCTTCTCCTGTTGTGCGCAAGATCGGATTCCTCATCCGCGTAAGAATGCCCTGAGCTTTAAGACTTGCACGGACATGAGTCCATGGACCCAACAACTGAGAATCGAACCCCGGATTTCTGACGTAGAACGCAAGCATCCTGCCCGCTTTGCCATAGAGGAGTTTATCCGACCCTGTTCATTCTGACCAGAAACGAGACAGTACAACTCACCCCTGCGAGCTTATTACGTTCATTTTAGTACTTACCTATAAGGTTATGAAGTGGCTAGAAACATTCCGAACCTGACTACTAATCACAAGAAAGTAGTGATCATTCATTGGATGATGAACTTCGTGGTGTACAGAGCAAACGAAGCGTGAACTGAAAAGTCAGAAAGCGTTGTAAAGTTCTTTCAACTTGGTTGGTTCTCATCAACAGTGTGAATCCAGCAAGGTAGAATTATTGTATTGCTTTTTATCTTCTCAGTCCATGGTTCGTTTGCTGTGTACACAACGCAATTTATCGTATGATTGAATGAAATCCCCCAATACTCTCAAATAAAATACAAGCAGATTAGGAATGTTTCCAATCATGTTATAACCCTTTATTCTGCTACGGATATGAGCGTAAGATGCTCGCAAAGGGAGTTGGTGCAGTTAATTTCTAGACAATGTGGAAAAGGTTTGATCAACAGGTCGATTGCCAAGTGGGTTATCTGGCTGCGTTCTGTGTGTGAGGTCCATGGTTCGATCCTCAATCAGATTGATGGCTTCGCACCCCACAGGAGACCCAACCAAATCAAAACAACTGCACAGTGCTTCCATGCCGTTCATTCCAACAATTTCCTGTGCTCTATATCATTGTGTTAACTTATTCAGTCCTCTTAATTCAGCATCATTTCGGACTTAGCTCATAAGAGTACACCTCACACGTACTCACCCTATTGGATTTGATCGCTGCTCTAAAGATCCAGACTTCCTTTTAGTCAACAAACTGAATCACATCTACATTTACCCCTCTAGAAAGTACTTTCGAATACCGGGACTGTCCTTTTTACTGTAAGTCACTTCATTTGTGCAACACGAAAGTAATTTTGGATTTTTGGGTAATCTGCGAGCACAGGAGATGCAAACTGAATTGAAAGTATACAAAGTGTAATTTATTTTACACGCGTTCGAGTCCAGACAGTGTCAAATAAATCATGGTACAATTAGCGTAACAACAAAGATTTTGAAAAACCCGTGATTTCCTAGTGAGTGGAATACTGTCAAGTTGTCCAGACCAAAGAAAGGTGAAATTTTCGGGGACTTCACAACCGGAGCCTTTGACTAATCAAGACACGATCTACTAGTTATTCGGCGGTGCAAAAACCGCAATCCAATGGGATCGGTGTCTAGTGCATCGAATCATATGCACTTTGGACGGGATCAAACGTCCAAGGTGCGCAATAAACCCCGATGCCCAATCTAGCCAGTGACCACTGATACAACCAAGAGAGTGTGGGTTCCTGTGGTTCCTACGCCTACCCTCGGTTGTTTTAGAATCAGGGTCTTTAACCTACTCCGCTGAGTGGCCGGCTAGTGATTCATTAAGCCGGTTATGGCCGCAGATGTTGATTTCTCGTCCTCTCACTTTGGTAAGAACACCTCCGCCATGAGAAAGCAGTGGGTAGGGCTTCCTCAGTAGAGATAATTTGTAGCTGAACGATCTTCTCGTTGCAAAGATTAGATGTTTGCTGAAGAAGTGGCATACACTGTACTCTGAATTAGGGTCATATATTGGTCTCACCTTATTATTTTTCTCCATAAAATGTTCTAGCATATTTTCTCCTGAGGATATCTCTAACTTTACATAGATTACCCCTAAAGTTCACAGATACCTTTTTCTTGCCCTTGAATCAAATAGTTTAACTGAGCTTTTTAAATCCTCAAGATATGAAACTGTCATATTTTCTATTGCCAAGTCCACTTCGGTTCGTTGTGCATCCTCCGTTGACGGCCTTGATGTTGTACTGTTTTGACCCGGTAGTAATTACGGCTGATTTATTAGCGCCGGTCGATTGTTCAAACGACTGACTACAAAGAGTAATGGAGATAGTGCGCGCTGAACAATTACCGGTCACGTGACATGGACAACGAACACCGAGCACATGTCGCGTGAATAGATAACGGGAAGCTTACATGATCATTTTCAATATCTACATTAGTTTGGTTAAACATACTTCCGACTGAATAGTTACTGAAAACTCTCAGCTCATATGTGCAAATCCTAGGTTGATGGGTAGATATGCGCTAATTTTGAGCTCCAGTGGAGAGCAAAGTTCAAGTCTCGTGATCTCCGAGTGTGATTGACTGGATTTTTAGTGAGAATAAAGTCAGAAGAGCGGTAAGTCAAAATCAAGTATAATTAAAGCGTGCATCTGTCGATCATTAGCTCCCAGTGCAGGATAATTATTCACCACCATAACGCATGAGGAGCCGAAGTTTACCAGACATGAGAATGAACAATTCAAGCTGAATGTTGAATGGATCACCAGATCACCTTGCCAGTAGATCCCTGTGACCACTGTTAACAAGTTACTGCATATATCATATCCGAAATTGGTGAAACACGTCCAACTAGTACGTGGTTTACCCAAAGATGATGTCCCTCTGACTGCCAACAAATCAAATCAGAATCCGCAGATTCTGATCTATGGAAATGTGTCGTATCACTGCTGCGATGGAAATTTTCTGTGTAACCAAATTATTACCACCAATATTTTGTTCGCAGAGGAAACAGACTATCTACTGCAGACTAACGGTCTATGGAGCGAAACGCTACTGGGGATGTCTCTGATTACGGAATAAGAGAACGACAACACGTGTGGTTGGTTGTCTGGGTCACTAAGCAATACCAATTCATAAATTAATTTTACGTCATACGCTCATAATACTGGTCACAAATTACGTGTAGTAGAAAGAGTTTTAAGCTGCTGACTCGGAGGGCCGCCGGTAGATTATCTATGGACAAATTAAAAACCACGTAAGAAATATTGACTATTGATAAGTTGTGATGGAAAGAAATCATCTATGCAATGATGGACCATTCAATATGTCATTGATACCCAATCAATGACATCAAACTTTTGATACAGTTGCAAACAAGTACTTTCGTGTTCCCGTCTCTGTTATATGAAAATTCGCAGTTTAAAAGAATCCAAATTGTCTAACCAGGAAATACTATAGCGATAGGCAGCGGTATACACATCTTTTGGCCTTATATGCGCTTTGGTTGTTGGACAAAATAGTTTATAATCCCCACATAGGTTGTAGGAGAACTCAGGGAAGCTGGAGGAAGGCAATTACAAACCAGCCTTGATACAGCTGAAGAGTGAAGAGACAAAAACTAATTCTAACTATAGTAATGACCCTAAGGACAAATCGAGTTCAACGAAGCATTTATGAAAGTGTATTTTCTGAGCTGTATCGCAAAATCATCAAACTACGCGTAGTTTGATGTAACCAGTGCTTCGATCAAATGCACTTACCATACTGGAGTTGTCCAAAACGCGCAAAGCAGAGATGTTCACCTGATCGATCGATGACATTTAAACAATCAGGTCATCTGAGTTGCCCTACAAGCATAGACCAAATGTATGAACTCAGCTGGATTGTTTTTATTTCTTTTATACATCTATGTCAAGCCTTCAAATCTGCCCAGCATACAGTGTGGATACCCGCAGGAAAACAAGTACGGGTGCCCTGTAAATTGAAAAACACCGAACAAGTTGAGACAGCATTCTGGTGGGCAAAACTAAATGAGGATTTGCGTTGGAATTCCTCCGCAAACGCGGTCACAGTGTGGTATGACCGGTTAGGACAACTCATTCATGTGGGAGAAATTTTATTCGTGCACGTTCCGTGGTTCGAAGCTAGTGAGCTATCAGTAACACAATACGCACCACGACAAACGAGCCCGAGTGAGGGCCCCATGAGCCTAAAGCCGCGGTATCGATCTTGGATCGGTGGAACTAACAGACTGTTACAAGCAAACTATTTAGACTCCGTCACTTGTCAACAACTTCAATCGACCACCGTTTATGGAATGGCGAATGATTGGGAACACCTCATAAGAAAAACCCACATAATCAGTCAAATCTTTTTCACATTTCGCGTCTACGTACAGCCAATACTGATATGGAACTATGCCATCCAGATGGAATTCGAATTTGCCAACCGAAGCGTTTTAGCCAAACCGGTCGAGGAATGGTGTGCCGCCCAAAGATCGATCGCACATCATCGTGCATCTGTTTGTCGTGAGATATACGAACAACGTCGACCTGCTGTGCGACAAAACAAAAAGAACGAACAACTTTCCTTGTTTCAAGCTTCAGATACTGTTTACATTGAACTTGGTGTGTCTATCGACATTACAAATCAACCTCTCGGTATGTTGGGCGACCCCACCAATGGTCAGTTAAGTTATATTCATGCCAAACTGAAAGACGATTTGGATTCGTATATTTTACGCGAAGTTACGGAAGAAGCAGAACGACAGGATGTTGAGCTTCCAGTCGTGATTGCTACTCGCCTACAAGCAATCTGTCCTCCTGGTGGGCATACATTTAATCCGGTACCCCTATTGCACAATTTACACCCGAAGATTGTTGACAGTAATAACACAAATAGCAATCGCACAGCAGAGACAATTACTGGTTCTGCAGCTCCACTTGTCGATTGGCCAATTATTTGTCATCCATGTCCGAACGGACAAGCCCCAAGAACAGCCTACGCTTTCGACGGATGTCATTACTGTCCGCGAGGATTCTACTTGGGCAGCACAGGTTGGCCCAGTAGTGGTGGTTGTCTGCCTTGCCCAAAAGGTTTTACCACGAATCATGTGGGTGCTAGTTCAATTGAAGAATGCAACTTGGATGCTGGTGCGGTGACACGTTGGGCACTGGAATATCTCGTCAATTTGTGGTACGCGTTGCAAAAGATTATGGTAGGCACTCCCGGTCCGGATACACAGACCAGAGCACTAGGACGAGATCAACAGTCATCTTGGGCATGGTTAGGCAAAACACATAAAGCGGTTTGGATATTCGGTGGCCTCTATGTCCTATTGGTGAGTACCTTGATCGCGCTGGCTGTGTACCGATTGCATCTGTACGCCAAGCTTCACCGGATTTTCCGTAAACAATATCGACTTCTGCTGAAAGCCACACTTATTGGACAGATTAATTTAGTCTCCCACATCAAACAGCGTGCCAAACAAGGCGCAGGAAGTCTAAATCCAGAAGATGATTTGGAATTGGATGCAAGCAACAGCAGTGATGATGATTAGTGACCGCACTGGACGGATGTGATGATTTTACTGCGCATTTGAAACTTGTGCATTAAACCGATCTCACTCTAGACTTGAAACATGCACATAAATTTGCTGTTTAAATCAACAGAAAGAAAATGGGCAAATGCGCAAACAATGCAAAAAGGAATAAAGCATTCTTTTTTATTCAATATCAAAAAAAAAACAATAAAAACAAAGTGAATGATATGATGAATACGAAAGCTTAGGGCATTATTGTACAGAGTTGAGATAAAGATTTGGTCGAAAATACTGCATAGGGAAGTCGATTAGTTGTTGGTTTTGGTAGAATTACCGCACGACACAAATGCATCACGTGACCACAATGCACCAGAACCCAATTGAATTAAATGGTACATGGCTACGACATTGTCCGCAAGTTTTGCAGCCTCGCTGTCGGTATCCTGTGTAACAAGATGAACGGCTGTTCGGGGTGATGACCCTTCGTGTATAGATAGAGAGGGGAATGAATAAAACGGATAAAGAAGCGAAAGATTACATGGTCCCAATATGACCACTAAGACACTGTCTCTATCAACAGTAATGGTCTTGTTAACAGCGTGGGCAAACCAAAACGTTTTATGGGAACTGACGCCTTTGGCAGGACCAGACAAAAATGTACTACTGGCAAAAGTGCAGCACTGTTATGAATTGGGACGGCCTTTCTTCTGGTCTGTATGCTTTCGCAGAGCAGTTAACACACGTCACCAGTTGTCCAGGTAAAACGCATAATGAAACGGCACTTACTAAACAAACCAAAATCCTAATGGGTAACCAGGCGGTTCGCACAAGTTGATAAAACCCAGGACGAGTGTAAAGAATTTGCGATAGAAAAATATCACATTAATTGCGCTAAATCAAACGTATACCATAGCTTGTATCAAAACTAATTTGATTTAGCAAGTACTGTGCACAAGCAAAGTTGCAATGACGATCGTGGATCAAAAAATTCAATTTAACCTGGACAGCGGAAATTCGAGCGATGACAAACTCGCTGACAGCTGTTTTAGTTTGAACAGATATTAACTCTACGCCAATTTCAGTTTTCGTTTGTTGATCGACTAATAATCCTTAATGAAAAGCGTATCGTAACCAAGATAAAGATGGATGCAAGAAAACTGCACGGGCAAGGGATGTAAATACATAAATGGGTGCCGCCGATTTTCACGGTCAACATCAAACATCGTGACTCGCAACGTAGAAACCCAACACATCCATTATGATGAGGTCTACCATCCCCGAGTTGTGTAAACAAAATGAAAACAGAACGGAACTTATCACTTGTTTTTAACAATGTAAAACAATCCTCATGGAACCGAAGCAAAAATTCAAACGGATAGCCCATTAGGTAAACATTAACTCGTTTACTGTTTGAATCTCAGACAGATCAGAATAAATTTGAGCCGAGTGAAGTAACTGAACTCTGCTTTTCGTATTCATTTGTCCAAGATCTCTCCAATCGAAGCGGCAAGAATATGAAAAGCTCAATATGGCATGCAGTTCAACACACACCAGACACGAACCATTTAAATGAGCATTTTGGGACAGAATGGACGAATCATTTATACGTTTATACGCACCTAACTTCCTTGATTATTACACCGTGATTTGTGGCACGCCTGAACTCAGGCGTGTGTGAATATATATATTCTTGATTTATCCTGATAAATTGTTGAGGTTAACTGTAATAAACGGCACAAGTAGGTCTCTGAAAAAAGAATCTCATTAAAAGTGGTGCCAAATATAAGGTAACTGTGGGTGGCATTCCTGTACGGGACAATGAAATCACCTCTCCGTGGTGACTGCAGTCGATATCATTGGCAACCAATCAGGACTTACCGCTCTAATTAATTATTCATCAGAAACATTTTTGAACAGTAGACAGTAAAGGCGCAGTGGTAACGCACACGCCTTCCATGCGATGGGTCCGGAATTCAAATCCCGGACAAGACGGTGGATATGCACTACTGATGAGCTCTAATAAGAGCGAAACTCGAGTCTAATGCTTCCGAGTGTATGGTTGAATCGATGAACTGAGGATTGTGCGTGAAGGTGAAGTCCGAAGGATAGTCAGCTCAAATTAGTAAAGACTCCGTTAAATCAGTTTCGTTTTCCAATTATATATATGGATATGGTTATGCCGGAATTCACAAGGGCATTACTTGTACGGCACAGTTGATTAATTTCGCAGCACCAGCTATCACTAAGCAAGCGTAACGATTTTTCAACCAACAAGAATATAGGTATCGTTTAACTAAGCAGAAATCTTGCGCATGTTGTGTTGTTGTACATGCGGTCAGTAGTTTATAACAACCATTGATGCCTGGAATGATGCCGACTGCAAATGTACTTACTCACATACAAGGACCACATAAATAACCACTGGAAATCTCAACTCACGGTGACTGATCGCGTAAGAGCCCGTGATAGAGTGAACAATCAGGTGGATAATTTTGCCAATTCGTGATGAATTAATGATCCTAAATTTGCATACAATTGAAATTTCCGTGAAGTGGATTGCGAGAAGACTATGAGTGGGGTGAAGAACTGTTTTAACCGTAATGAGAAACCTTTTTTAGAGCCGCTTCAACACAGATCAACAAATACCCCACCCCTATTATCATGAGTGGAACCAAAGGGTGTGACGACCAAGGTGTGAGCAACGATGGGTAATGGAACTAAAATTTAGAGATTTTTATTCTCATTCTTTCATAAATCCATTACCTTATGGAATACAATGATATAAATTGCCCGTGTATAATCTGAGGAAAATAAGCTTATTTACTATTGCTTTAGTGAGTTAACGATGACATTGGTTTCGGACGGCTGGACACTAACACAGTACACAACTATGAGCATGTTAATTCACAACCGGAGTCTTCGGCCAACCAAATTCTGGCCCGCAAAGCAGCAAAGCGGTGTACAAAAACCGCAATCCAATGGGATCGGTGTCTAGTGCATCGAATCATATGCACTTTGGACGGGATCAAACGTCCAAGGTGCGCAATAAACCCCGATGCCCAATCTAGCCAGTGACCACTGATACAACCAAGAGAGTGTGGGTTCCTGTGGTTCATACGCCTACCCTCGGTTGTTTTAGAATCAGGGTCTTTAACTTACTCCGCTGAGTGGCCGGCTAGTGATTCATTAAGCCGGTTATGGCCGCAGATGTTGATTTCTCGTCCCCTCACTTTGGTGAAAAACACCTCTGTCGCCGTAAAGCAGTGGATAGTACTTCCTCAGCAGAGGCCATTTCAGGAGAATTCAGCAAGATGTACGGGAAGGGTGAACAGACACAACCGGAGACACCCACTCTCAACCATACAGAGGCTTTCGAATGCAAAGAGGCAAGCATTAGCAAAAGGCTCCGGCGGAGGAAGCAATGTAAGCTTCAAAACTACAGCGGGAAACTGCACTAAGATGGCTTGGACAATTTATCCGGAAGTAGAAAACAGAAGGGAGTGATTATAAACAGGAAACAACAAGGCGGAGAAAAAGCAGCCATTAATTTTCTTGAGGTGATATATCTACTGAATATTTGTTTTGTTTTTTACTTTAGACCCAATGACATCGCAGAAAACATTTA